CATCGAGCGACACAAATGCCGCACATAATGTTCACATCACTCTTTCCTGCAACGGAATCTGAAAAAACTAAACATCACACGAACTTCGCTCAGCAGGACAGCGGACATAATATCTGGGAGTCTCGGAGAGTCGGACTTTGAGCTGAGGGGAACGCCTTGGACTTTGGGAGACTTCCGAAGCTTTCCGCACCTGCTCGGCATCCTCCTCGGCTGGTTCAGGTGCAGCGGCCGGAGCAGACCCTGCTGCCTGACAAGAGCTGCAAAACTCTGCCAGGCCAGATCCGAGATTTTCGTGGCCTCCTGCCCCATGGGCTGCGGAAGCTTGCCATGCGCCTCAGATTTGACAGAACACAGCGGCCCAAGCCAATCATTACTCGGCAAACTTCATTGAGTTGTCTACACGTGGACGTGTCACGCAACCCAGATGTGCACGGCTTATGCTCCAGCCTCAATTGTGAACTGCAGCTGCCATTCTCCGGTGACGGAGGCTGCCGGCGTTCCTCGGGAAGCCTCGAAAACTCTCAGGACTGCTGTTGAGGATTTCGGGTTTGTCCTCCGAATCAAAAGTCGCAGCAGGAATTTTGCGAGGCAGGCGGAACTTTAGCGAAGCTACGGCTGCATGAATCAAGCTCTCGTACAGTTGCAAACAAGCACCGTATAACTGACAGCTTACAATGACCAGACAGCTCGTGCCAGATTCGGATCGAGGCCTGATTTCGGCGCTTCTTCTTGGAGAGCACCCGAGGCTCGTGGCAGCCTGCTTCGAGAAATCGCTAAACTTGTCAGGGATGCCATCTATGTGCGACTTGGCCCGCCTTCCGGGGCTATCAAACCGTTCTTCCAGACGAAGAGCTTGCCGGTGTTCTGCTCCTGCCAACTAAGCCACCAATGTCATCTACTCGTACTAGGTGTTGGCTATGAGTGCTACAACGACGACGACGACGACAACGACCACCATTCCCACTGCGAGCAGTACTATAACCGCTGCAAATGCTATCCTGCGTCAAGGTGAAAGCTTTCAGCGGCCACTCTGAGTAGACCGGTCCACATGCATGCTGCAGCATAGTGTCTTCTATGACGTCTTACCACACGGGGCAAGCGTACTGCCACTCAAGGTACCACTATGATGCGGTTTCAAAACGGTTCTTGAGGCGCTGCGTTGCTTTGCAGGATGTAGACTGAATTTTCACTTACGTCTGCTCTTCTTTTCTGCAGCCTCGGGGATCAGTCGGCTATCATCCCAGCAATAACTACCTCAAACAAATCCGAGATACAAGCGATACAAGCGGTGGTGATCAGAGCAGTAAACGTCCAAACAACAGCCTGATGCAACAGTGAAGGCAGAATCTAAAAGACTGCGCAGAGTATCACTGATGCCGACCGTTGATGGGAATTGCTGCAATCATATCTCAAGTGAAGGTCCTTTTAAGCATTAATGGTACTCGACCAGAAAAAAAGATCCGATTCTGGAAGTGTTACGAATTTGTGGGGAGTACCTCGCTGCGCACGGTACGCTCGAATGAACCAAGCATATCTTGGCGAAGACTTCGTGATTCTGGGCCGATTAGGAGGTGAACTTTTCTTTCTCCCGTCGCTGCAAAGGTCTTTAGACAAGTTGAGCTTGCCCTTGGCAAGCCTTAACCTTCATATCAGGTCTTCATGCATAAAAACCCACAAATGAAGGCTGTCCGCTTCAATTTTCTCGGCTGTGGTTTCGACAAAGATGCCGAATCCTTCTGGATCAAGTTCGCACCAGCTATGCTCCTCTGACTCTACGACTTAATAGTTTAACTCCTGAGTCCTGCAAACACAAACCTGAAATACGATACGGGTGGCAGGACCTGTCACTGACAAAGTGGCAAAACACACCCGAAGCCCGAGCCCTGCAAGACGGCGGCCTCCTCTGGCGTGTCGAATTGCTGCGGATCGTTGCTTGGCCTGCGCCGCTCCCCAACCTATCTCAACCCAGTCGACCCTGAAAAACCAACTATCTTCGACCACAGCGATCCGGCAAAGCTTTGCTGCACGCACAAAGGGGCAGGGTTGTGTCGAGCGCTGACACTGGAGCATGTGAAAGATTCGGACGCTGTCTGGGGTGCTGAGGCAGAAGCAAGCACAGTCGTGTGGCATCACCACATCATCATCATCATCATCACCACCATCACCATCATCCTCACCATCACCCGCATCATCATCCTCATCATCATTAGCATCATCGTCATCCACAACAAGAACATCATCCACATGGCTTGTGGCATCGATGTGGCTGCCATCATCACCGTCATCGGCCTCGTTATCTCGGTGCTGTCACCATTTCGTGCAAGTAGCAAGAATGACAGCAGCAGCAGCAGCAGCAGCAGCAGCAGCAGCAGCAGCACTAGCACATCATATTCATGACCAGCATCACCACCATCAGCATCACGATCTGATTACTACCCACCATGGCACTTTAGGATGTCGTCGCGAAATCTCCGAGCAGCAAGCCGTCAAGGCTGCAGGCGGCCTCGGGAAGTCCATGAGGATCAGGCGGTCCGCCTTCAACGGAAGGTTGGGCACACGGAACCACCTGGCAAAGGGCAGAGAAGCAAGCCCTTAAAGGACGGTCGAAGGATATCCGGGGTGCTTGGTGTTGAAGCTGAGTGTTTCACTGGGTAGGTAAGAGCGGAGGGCATGGGAGTTTCAGGTTCAGGAGGAGAGCGTGGCTTTGTTTTTCTGGTTTAGTAGGTTTATGGTGAAAAATTGCGTTGTAGTTCCGTTTGGTATTTCGGGTTCTCTTTTGAAGTTCAGCACGCGGTGTCCTACGAAATGTCAGCAAGGCAAGTCACGAGCTTGCGCGAAGGACCGCAGGAGAAACCGCAAAGCTTTGAAGGCTATTGTTGCTGCTGTAACAACCCTACAGGTTCAGAAGATGGTCTTGACGACCTTGAAACCATGTAGACAGGCTCAAGGTCGGGTCCAACGGAGTTGTGCGCTTGTGCAGTCTACAGTTTGTCGACTTGAGGCTACTGCCGCGTGATACGAATTGTAACAGGCTGGACCAGTGCAAGGCCAAAGCTCAAACCGCAGTGCATCAAGCCCATTGTCCCTTGCACTTCACTGTGGCCATGCCCTGCAATCTGAACCCGAGGCTGCGACAGGGTCAGCGAGTAGCCTTACTTGCTCAAAAATGCTGACTCTGAACAGTGAACATCAGGAAGAAATCTCATATGAAACACAAGCGGCTATTCGCTTTGCACTCACTCCGGCCGAGAAGCAGTTCAAGCGGCCACCTGCCATGCCGCGAAGCTGAAGCTCTTTGACCTTTGCTGTCACAACACCACCTTTGGAATCGGAGACCTTTAACTTGTCGCGCTGTCGCCTATTACCACGTTGTAATGATCTTTGTCACGGGCACAAAAAGAGAGTAGGAAGCTAAATATGAATGCTCCTGGATGTTTCTGGAGGGCTGGTGAGCGGGAGCCGGATCTGCCGGAATCAAGCTGTTCCCGGCAGACTGCCGTCGTGCCAGGACCTCTTACAGATCCGTGGGAGCAAGCAATGAAAACGAATGGAATGCTTAAAGATATCCAATAGAAGTTGTGGACGGAATATTCTTTTGTTTGTTTGAGACCTCTTTTCTATTCCGCTACAGGTCAGGAATACCATGCTGGTTGAGGTAGGGGCAAGGAGTGATGTGTTTGATGTGGGGATTCACCACCTAATACCACTTTCTGTCCAGCGTCCAAGAAAACCTCACATGAAGTTGCTATCGGTCCGAGCGTGAAGAGGGAAGCATAAGAACTCACTGCAGCTGTGATTGTCGCAGCTGCTCTGCGCAGTACAATTCTGACCACCAAGCTCCGCGCAACGAGTCCTGTGCAGGCGACTACAAGGGACACAACTCTCTGCAGCCTTGCCGACCACACCTTCCCGGTTTAACCATAGCTGTTTGCTCGCAAGCAGAAGCAACTAAGCAACTGCCAGATCCATGAAAGCATGAAACATCCCAGTCGGATGCCATCAAGAGCAAAAGCCGGTCACTGCGTGGCGAAACCGCTGCTAGAAGGCAGCATGACCCTAATCATTCAGCCACCCGCCCATGGCATAGGACTCAGGGAACAATTTTTGCCAGGTACCGAAGAGCACCCAATTTCGGGCTGGCCCGCGAAAACAGCTACACATGGCCCTAGGACTTCTCAGAGCTATTTCCCAGTTCACCTCACCCCCAAGCCATAGACCCCCCTACACGATTCACAAATTCTAAACAGTACAGCACCCTAAACCCGGAAATGTGTCGGAACCCCCCCTTCCCCCACATGCTTTTAACCCATTTCTCAACCAGCCTACTAAGCCAACAAATTCCAACACAACACGAATCATATCCAATAGCTGAAATCCTATAACCAAGAACCATATCCTTCTCCATGCCGTGGGGGTTCAATGTGGGCGTTTTCGCAGAACAAAACCAAGCTGTCTTGACTGATTCATGCAGGTAGGCCACGTTATACAGTCCACGGGCTTCCAAAAGCAACCGCACACGTTGGACGCCGCCGCTCTCGGAAGCCTCATCAGAGCTGTCTTGGAACCTGACCTTGCTCTATGCTAGCACGGGCTTCCAGAAGCAGTTGCACAACCTGGACGTTGCCGTTCTCGGATGCCATTGTGAGCGCTGTCTTGGAACCTCCACTTTGCTGGATGTTCGCACGGGCTGCCACAAGCAGTTGCACAACTTCAATCTGGCATTCGTCGGACGCCATGAATGATGGCATCCGAGAAAGGCCACATTGAAGTTGTGCAACTGCATCATGAGAGGTTGCTTCTACAGAAAAGTTGCGTGCTCTGTGTCAGCACGAGCTTCCACTAGCAGTCGTGCAACCTGGACATGGCCTCTCGCGGATGCTAGCATGAGAGCTGTCTTCCACCCACCAAACTCTATATGTTGGCATGGGCTTCCATAAGCAGTTGCACAACCTGGACGTGGCCATAGCAGGATGCCACGGTGAGAGCTGTATTGCCTCTTACTTCTCGATTTATGCCAGCGTGGGCTTCCAGAAGCAGTTGCACAACCTGAACGTGGCCATTCCCGGATGCCAGCATCAGAGGTGTCTTGAAGGCTGTACCTTGCCCTGTGTCAGCACGGGCTTCCACAAGCAGTCGCACAACCTGGACGTGGCCCTTCTCGGACGCAATCATGAGAGGTGTCCTGAAAGGGCTCACTGTGGTTTGTTCTATGTCAGCACAAGCTTCCACAAGAAGCTGCACAACCTCTGCTTGCGACGCACCGAGGAGCGCTGTCTTCTCGTTCGCAACCAAACCAATGTTAACACGAGCTGCCAACAGCAAGCGAACCGTCGCAACCCTGCCCATGCAGCATGCCCCAATGAAGTGGTCTGCGACCTCTTCGTGCCTCCTTCTCCTTCTTTATCCCTTCTCACTTTACCCCTTCCCTTCTCACGGAGGGGGCACCGGAACTAGGCAACGGCGGCAAATGCGGCAACAACACCAGCTGCACATCACTGGGAGCCGTCAGCTCCGTAGCACCATGCAGCTTGCGGTCTTCCTGCACAATCTCTTGCAAGCACACTGGGAAATGATAATGTAAACATAAATGGCGCTTCAAGCTTGCCACAGTCGACACATCCGGGAAATCCTCCGTGTCCACTTGGGCCAGCTCCGCCCCTGAAAGGCTCCAAACATGTATCATTCTCGCCCACGTCGGGACATAAATGGCAGCACGTTGTCCTGCATGGAGGTGAGCCAGAACGGCATACCAGCAGTTGTGCAAGACTTGTTTACAGCGCAGTTCCTCCCCCTATAATCCCTACGCGCAAATAATCTGCAGGAAAACACACCACTACCCTACGCCAATTATTCAAAGCCCTGATAATTATGAAACTCGAAACCCTTACCGCTAAGTCCTTAACTACATCATGCACGCATCAGCAGCAAAGATCGCGCCTCGACACAGAAGTCTGTGTAACACCCAAAAGAAAGCGGAGGTCTAAATGCAGACTACCCTTCAGGTTCCCTGATTGCACCTGAAACTGAAGTTTAGGGTTTAGGGTTTAGGGTTTAGGGGAAGAACAGTAGATGTTATGAGACGAGAGGAGGAGAGAAACAAAGAAAACAAAGAACCAAAAGGAATGGCAAAACTTTATACAATAATGAACGGATGAGCATAATAGCATTTTGCTGATTAATTTTAGTAAGGTCCTACGTTGTAGCCGTTCCAACGGACAAGGTTATAATCTTTTGGGGGTTTTCTATTAGCGGGGCATTTCTCAGTTCAGGTTAGGATACGGATAAGGTTATGGGTTTAGGTAGTTGCTATGGTGTAGGGTTTGTATTGGATAAGGTTATGGGTCTGGTTATTGGTTATGATTTGAGTTATGATATAATTTTTGGGTATGAGGTATAGGCGAGGGCGTGGGGATGAACTGGGAAATGACCCTTGCTAGCTCTCAGAGGGCTAGGGTGTCAGGACTTCCAAGAAGCGGCCGTGAGTCTGCTTCTTTAGATCTTGACACTTGGGGTTCTGGGGGTTTTCCTTTTAGGAAAGCTTGCGGCCCGCGGCCTGCTCCAGGCTCCAGCAAGCAGTAGCTCTTCCCATTGGAGCCGTAGAGCTCTGGCACCTGAGAAGTCCAAGGCTTTCAAGGCGTCTCAGCGCGGCCCAGGGCACCCTTCAAACTGAAAGCCCTGGAGAACTACCGAATCCATTGCTGTGCAGCTGGAGCACGTTAGGCATGGGGAATAACAACGTCAGGTTTTTAGCTTTCTGCGCCGTTGAGAGCTGTGGCCTCTACATCCACAACGGCTACGATAGCGCCGCGAGCATCAGTTACCAAAGTGACACTGCGTGGTCTCCATGAGAAGTCCGCGACATGTGCTCGTGGACCTGATCCGACGACCCCTCAGCCCTCAGCATGATGCAAGTTGCTTGCTGAAGCCTGTCCAGCCTCACCTTTTCTTAACTTTGCCATTTGAGCCCAGGGTTTCGGAATCCCAAGCCGGCTTCAAGTTCTCCCTCCATCTCACCCATTCTTAGCCCATAGCCCCTAAAACCATTAAAGCCTTCGCCCAAGCAAAGCCATTTTCATGACCCTAGCCCGAGTCTACTTGACTAGATCAAGAAGGCCTCAGCATAAACCCTACAATCCCCCAAAACAACTTCTGCCCGGGCGCAAGCTCAACAATACCCAAAGCGTAGGTCTCCTTCGGCAGCCGCGCGGCCTGAAGTTTAGGGGTGTTTAGGCTTAGGGTTGTATACTTGTTGAAAGTTTCATGGGGTTCTATAAGTTTGACAATCCACACCCTACTGAAAAGTTTTCAATTACAGGACAGAATTTTAGCGTCTTTATGCCAGGGAATCATACCCGAATAGTGCTACCTCATCAGCATCAACGCCTTTAAACCAGGATCTAGATTGCATGGTATAGATATTGCAAACTGCAGTGCTTAGGGGCGAGAACAGATGCACTGGATGATGGGGTTTGCAGCTATAGACGATTGTTGCCAAAGCCTGAATAAACCAAGGCGTTAGAACATTTGGGCCTTGTAGATCCTATATGGTGGGATCCGTATTGCGCACATTGTGAAGGCCCTATAACATTCGAAATGGGACCAACAATCCCTACAAACGGATGGAAACACAGTGGAACGTGGCGGAGTCCGTGTGAACAACCCTAGGCCAGTCTTCCAATCATTGCACGCGGTCAGAACTACTTTTTATGAGGGTTGGCAGCTACACCAAGGCCGTTCATCTCAGTCCGAATTGATAAAGAATGACACCCACTGCCGACAGTATGGGAAAAGGGCTGGCGCCTGGAAGTTGTACTCTGTCCAGCCTTCCCCACTCTCTGGATTCTGGCCCAGCTCCTCCTCAATCAGGACCTGTCACCATGCTGGTCTTAAGTTTCAAAGGGTTGTCTGCCATCCAATTGCAATCACACCACCTGCGAGCACATACATACATACATATACATATACATATATATATATATATGCACACATACGTATGTATGTATGTATGCATGCATGCATGCATGCATGCATGCATGCATGCATGTATGTATGTATGTATGTACGAATGTCTATGTATGCATCACCTGTGTATACATGTACATCTATATATATGTGTGTGTACATATACTTATTGTGTTCATAATCATTCCTGCCTCGATACCCTCCTCCTCTTCAGCCTTGAGTCGCTCTTCATCCGCTTCTGCCTCCGAACTTCCAGGGGCGTGTGGGGCTTAAGGGATGGATTCAGGTTTCGAGTGCTTCAGGCTTTAGGGCTTTGGGGGTTTTGGGTTCGGGCTTTCCATAATATGGAGAATTATGTTCTGGGGGTTTTATGCCTTGCGGATATACCTAGACACAGAAGCACACTGAGCATGCAACATTGAGTCTTCGAAATCTGGAGAAGGCAACACCGTGCCACATTACTGTACACGACCTTAGGCTCTTCAATGGTTTGGGTAGTTACTCGCGACAATTATGTACATAGTGTCATCCAAAACGGGGGCCGCCCTCGACGCCCATGTGCACTCGTGACTCCGAGGCCTTTCGCTGCTTGGCTTTTCTGAGGTGGACTTCCTGCTCCACCTGCCAGCAAGGAGCTGCTGGTTGGACCCGGGAGCCTACTGCTCCTGTGCTAGCACCCAACCCACCAAATCCCAGCTTAGCTGAATTAATTGAACTGCCGTTTGATAAACGACAGTTCTTCGAGAAAGGCAGACAGACCGTGCTGTTTCTTCTCGATAATGATGCACCTCGTTGAAAAGCTGTCCTGTGATGACTGGTGCGCAGAGTTCACAAGATTCTCAGCGGCCCAGTGAGCCAGAAGTTCAGGCAGCCGCTGAAACAAAACCAAACGAAATGATCTGTACTGTGCAGTTTTGTCTGCTGCACTTAAACACTAGAGGGTCGAGTCCGCACATCATTGACCCGAAACTTCAACCCTAAAGCCCTGCACTCCAAATCTCATGGCCCCAGGACCCAAAACGCCGTTGCCAAGCCCTTGAAAAGCCGTGTGTGACTCCTAGAAAATCCTACAAAGACATGATTTGTGATGTTCAGGCATCGGTTCGCCGGCGCCATTCTTGTGTGGCCCCTTTGGGTTGCCAGTATGAGAGCTGTGTTTTTCCACCGATCGAGCGAGTCCTTCCCGGCCCCAAGCTTCAATAGCCACTGCAGACTGTTTGTGTGGCCCTTTTTCGGCTGCCGGCATGAGAGCCTCCTTTCAACCCAAGGAGTCTCTAAACGAGCTCAGATACCGTTGAGGCATGTCAAACACCGCCGGTTCTTAAGGAAGCCTCAGTCAGAAAGCACAGTGCGCCTCTGCTGCCTGGACGAGGTCACTAGTCTGCCGCTTCCTGGGAACACGCATCTGCGGCGTAGATGCCGAGACTCCGTATCGTACTGTTGCTAGTGCTAATGTAGGGACCTTAATCATTAGAACAGGCTTTTGGGGTACAGAATATTATACTATATCTATAGTAAGGAACCCCCAAAACAATATAGGTAGTTATGTAGGCCCCTATATTACCACCATTACCGACGCGAACTGCTTGGTCTCCTAGGCATTCCACTGGACCGTGGCAGCTTGGGCCCGGACAGTGGCTTCCTTGGATCAGGCGCTCACCACCGAAGCCCAGGGTTTGGGGTTTAGGGTTTAAAATAGGGGCCTCAATAGCTACCTATACAATTTAGGGGGTTCCGTATTATGATTCTAATGAAAAATACCCCAAAACCTGTGACTAGACACACAGAATCGTGGACAGCACATCACAACGGGAAGCAATTCACTTCCAAGGACAGTAGCGATGTGTAGAAAGCAAAGCACGACACTCGACCTGCTAACAAAGCCCAGGCACTTTTCAGGAAAATGCACTGGAACGGGATGAGCTCGAGGCTTCTTGGCCGGGCCGATGGAGTCTGGCAGCGTGCTTTGGCCTCTGCAAAGCAGCTCCCGACCGCAAAGCCGCTAAACTTCGCTTTAGCTGCTAAACACGCAAGGACAATCAGCCCAACCCTGCTGCCTGAGATGCCGCTTGCCAGCAGGTTGTTAACCTGCGTCTTCACGAACGCAAGAAACCTGCAGCAAAATGGAGCGCAGTCACGCACAGGGAGCGAGAAGCCGTGTCTCTGACTTCGGAACCGCTGCGGGACACAATGAGGACTCGACAGCGACCACGACTCTCAGCGTTTGCAAGAAATCAGCAAAGGGGCTCTTGATTGTCCACGCAGTAGTCCCCATTCTCGTCGATCGCCTCAACCTGAGCTTAAATGGCTTGACTGTCGTTCTCACAATGGATTCCAGAAATCAATCTGAAGCCTTCGGAATTCCATCACATGGAACCACTATAGGTGCTACCCCACCACTTTTGCTCAATGATCATGCATACCACTCTTCTTCTTGCTTCAGTATTGTGTTGCATATTGTATCTCGTCTTATGTCATACTACTTAGTTACTATCTCATAATAGTTTATACTATATTATGTTCGTCTTATGTTATACTACTTAGTTACTATCTCATAATAGTTTATACTATATTATGTTACATAATTTCATACTTCAAACCCCAAACCCGAAGCCCCTAAACCCTAAACCCCTAAACCCCTAGACCCCGAAACCCCTAAACCCCGAAACCCCTAAACCCCTAAACCCCTAACCCCCGAACCCCCAAACCCAGGGTTTTTGCGGCTGTTTCCACACCTTTTGGAGGCTCCTGAGGCTCAGGACCCAGTTGGCCACCTCCTCGGCGGTGAAAGCGAATCCCAGGTCCTGGGCTTTCGGAGATCCGAATGCTCACTGAAACTATTTATGAAGAGAAAGGTACATCTGTTTGTTTTTTATATGTAATCTGATGTTGCTCAGAGGTTGAAATATAGGCGTTTGTTTAAAGTGCTTCGATAGCTTTGATATGGATACCCGGAGCAGGGGTCTACAGGGGTTGATTAGAGCTTCATAGAGGTTCACGCAAGGCTTGTGGTTTCGGAATTAAGCTTCGCGGGGTTCAGGGTCTGGGAGGTTTGGGATTAAAGCTTTAGGATTTTGGAGCTCTTGGGTCTCCGGGTTCAACGGTTTCCAACGGCATCTTCGTCTTAAGCTGATGACCTGCGGCTCACAGCAATGTCGCAATGCCACACACTCTCTCGAATTCCGTGCGGGGGGCACCAACCCACAAAAGCCGACGCGCAACGGCTTGGCACAACAAGGCCCAAGAAGCCATGAGACCCCGTCATCCAACTCGAAGTGAACACAAAACTCGCAAAACTTTCAAGACTTGAAGAGGACTCCTCAAGAGTCCTCTCAGCTGTGCGAGGCCCCCGCGTGCAAGGCCCTGCAGAACTCCATCGGCTCGAGCAGTCCGGAGTTGTCCACGTCGTATTTCTGGAAGGCCGCCTCTTCGGGAGCTCTTGGAGTCTTCGGGTTGGCTTGGGGAAATAGTAATGCAGGATCCTCCTGCTGAGCACGCAGCAGTATGTTTTCCTGAAAGTATGAAACCTAGAGCCTAGAGATATCTGGCAGGCATGGATCGGTCATAGGCCAAGGACAGGCGAAACATCCGGGACCGCAAGACTTCGAGCTGCACATTGAAAGATGCAAGCTCGCAGTGCTGGGCAGTGCCCCTGGAGCAAAACTGCCCGAACTTTTCCGAACGTTCCGAGCACACAGGTGAACGATGTGAAACGGAACTTGCTGCTGCGACAAGACCAGGCCCTACAGATCAGATTGGCCTCCACAGAAAGGCCCTGCCCTTCGATGGCATCGCGCAAGCGCACAGCACGCAGGCGAGACAGGGTCTGGTCGAACCTGAAGCATTACAGCACAAGTGTGGGCTCATGTTTACTTCCTGAGTCTATGTACACAAGATCGTGACTGTTTGCTATATATATATATATATAGAGAGAGAGAGGCCTAACTGTACCTGTGCAATGCAGCCTGAATGCGTGGTTAGAGGTTGAGTTCTGCGACTCGGGCTTGGGGATGTTTGTGCTGTTCACCAAGCTAGGGCTTGAGAACACCAAGCAGAGATACAGCCAATGCTTTCCTGCTTAGACCAGTCTTGACGAGGACTCGCAAACCCGGAGACTGCGCAAGTGAACTGCTGAGGTAGACACTTTAAAACCCCTGGCTTGTCATAGCTATGTGTGCAGCATGCTGCAATTCTCTACCCTGAACCCCGAACCTATGGTTCGACTTAAATTCTGAGTGCAGACTTAAGGCCCTGACTAAGTCCCATAGGGTTGTGAAAAGTATGATTACATCTAAAGGGACAAAGAGTGAGGGACGATATAGCATGGTACTAGTGCTAGCCGCTAGCTACTCCGACCTCTAGATTTGCTTGCTGGCGGCTTGTGGGTTTTGCACAGAACTACAGGGCAACCTCCCTGCGGCTGCAGTGATGTAGTTCTACTCAATCAAGTGGCTGCTACCCGAGCCTCACGTGGACCCCGGGTCAGCTCCAAAACCGTACTGGCATGACAGAAACATGCAGTCGCACAAGCTCCACGTGAGGGTGCGTGCTTGGGTCCAGGCTCCAGCCAGTTTCGCTGCAACACTGCCGAAATTGGCTGCTCCTCTGCAGTAGACCAGACGGAGCCCAGCCCTCTTGAAGACCCACGAGAGGGGAATGATCTCTGATGGAGGGACTTATGTGATCGCGTGTAGGCTGTAACTTCATTCTCACGTGTCCACCTGCCCGTCACGCGCAGGAAGGGGGACACCTCGTGAGATGTCTATGATGCATGTCTCAGACGCTTATTGACGGTTGACGGGTGGGGCTTTGACAATCCCACCCCTTCTGGTGGGCCTGCCAGTTCGACAAGGCACGCCGTCTGCAGCTGCCAAGACCTCTGCGAGCATCATTCAGACATCTGCAAGACAGGGAACTACCTAGCTGCCAGGGTCACCAAAGGAACCAATTTCGGCAGAACCCTCGGCCCGAGCGGCTTTCCAGGAAGCGTCGGCGAGCAAAAGGCTGGTCGTGCTGGAGAGCCTTTCAAGGCGGTTTCTGCCAGTCTGCGCTTGGGGCCATGGTCGGCCCGTGCTACATGAATACGAATAATAGCGATGGGGGGTGGCGCGGCCTGGATCTAAGGTGGTTTCAACAAGCTTCCGAACGATGTCTCTCTCCGACCAACAGGGAGTCTTGTTGTGCTCTGGACTCTCACATACCAACAGGCGAGACAAAACCTCAATCTCAAAAAAAACGACCTCAGCACTTGAACTCGAACCCTTTACGGACACCTACCTCAACTCCCGAAGCCCTGAATGAGACCAGAACCCCTTTCGAGCCGCCCTCTAAAGATTAAGATGCTGAGGCAAGCAGCGCGAAGCAGCACAGACAGCTCTGGCTCCCGGTAGAAGGTCTGGCAATCCAGGAACCGGGCCACCTGCTGCCTGAGTTTAAGAATCGTTTCAAAGTGTTGAGTCAAGGGGCAGGCTACAAATCTCCGAACCAAACTCCCGACATGATAGGACCCCGAAGATCCGAGCTGCGCCGATCTTCCTCCCACTCCCACTCAGGTCGAAAATTTCAATGGTCCTGTACAACCACAAAGCCCGGCAAAGACGAAAGCTTGGTCAACCACATGCTGGAGGTCTGAAACTTGGGCCCTGATCCAAAGCCGACTGACCTCAGCAGGGGTGCTGGGAGCGATTCTGTCACGGTTCGCAGGTGTTCGAAGCTTCAAGAACGGTAGCTCCAGGCGCTGGAGGGTTGCAGCTCCGGTGCAGTGTCTCGAGTAGACATGCGGAACCGACCGGTTTCACTTAAAGGACGTGCTTTCCAAACCGAAGTCCTCACCTGACAACCTGACAAGGTCTTCCACTGAGGTCAGGAGCCGAAAGAACTCCTAGAGTTCAATCTTAAATTCAGAAGGAGAAGAAGACGATGACTTCATGATGCATTACTGCGGCATGAGGTGACACACTGTCTTATAACTATAGTGATATTCCAAGATCACTGAAGCTTACGCAAGTCAGGCGCTGTGTGAATTCCAACAACTGACTAGAAGGGGCAGAGCCAGAAACCCTGATTCTATTATGAAACCGACTGACTTCTGCGTGCTAGGTACTGCACAAGGCGCCAAGCCACCCCTCGGAGAATGTCACCGCTGAGCTCTCGGCTCATCAAAGATCATGTGGTTGGACATCACACAACGCCTCCACGTGGCGAAGCCCATGCATGTTCACATGCCCTCTCAGATAGAGGGCGACAGAGCCGAGTCCTTTTCTCAAGTGCGCGACCGTATACCGTCGCGAACGAATGAACGCTCAAACAGAAACCTAAACCCACCCTAATAAGGTCTCGGCAGGGCCACGCTGGTCTCGGGGTGCTGCGGAAGCAGTGGTCTGCTGACTCCTTACATTTGGGTCTTCGTTTAGGGCTCCCGGCTTCCGGAGTTCGGTCTGGGGCTGTCAGTCAGCTTCACGTTTATGACGTCGGCATTCGGGAAGGGGAGAAACAGAAGCCGACAGGTTTCGGGCTTCCAAGTCTTGAGGTCTAGCGAGTCTAGCATGGAACAGCAACAACGGCATGAATCATGCTGGTATTGGGAACAAAATCACATGTCGAGATTCCACAGACTGACGGTGCATGACATGAGTGAGCTCAAGAATTGAATCAGTTTGTTCTAGCGAGCTTTGATGTGCCGGAACATCAGTACTGTCGTGTGAGACACTCCCTGCACTCGAAGGCCTACCCGCCCCAAGTTGCCGACGGCAGTGCATGATCCGGCGCAAGGTCTCGGCCTCCGCATACTGGTATCATGCCATGCGCACTTGCTTTGGAGTAGGGTAGACCGAATGCCGTTCACCCATGACCTAGCAAGCCCGCTGTAATGCGGATCACGAGTTCAGGCTTTAGGTCGCGAGACGAACCAGAAAGCCCAACCCTCAGCAAGAACCGAACTCGAAGACGCCACAACCCAAGAGCTCCAGATGGTGAGGGCACTGAAACCCAACAGTGAATTCTGGAGCTGCCGCTGAATTGTCAGGCCGTGCGCTTGGCTGTAGCGAACTGTGTTGTGCCTGAGTCTGAAAGCCGAAAACCAAATCCGAAACCGCAGGCAAATCCCCTCCCTGAACGCTGGACACCGGACAGCTCATCTCCTGCCTCTGCCAGAGACAGGATGATGAAACCACGGCCCTCGTCTCTGGGCCGGAAGTAGGCCGCACCTCGGATTTGCATCTGAGGCAGTTAATGAAAACGGAAGAGCTGTTGGAGGTTGCAGTAGCTTATCTGTAGAGCAGGCTGCAACGGTGTGACACTGCCGCTACGACATGATGATAAAGAGATATCCAAACGCAAGAAGGTGTAACAACTACGCTCTGCAGCGCGTCGGAGTCCCGCAAAGCTAAGAACCGAACGGAGCAGCTTGCAAGCTTCGATGTAGTTGAGGCCTCGACGATCCCAGCAGGACACTCAAAGTCTTCATCCTTCTCTGCGAACTCATTAACAGGCTTCAACACATTGACTCCCCTTCCGGAGCTGGAACCTGAACGAGGGGTCAGCTGGAGGCCTTCTTGTTCGTCGAATTTAAAGCTGAAGCAGCCGAGTCAACGGCGTGCGCTTTCCGGCTTATCAGGCAAGACCGCTGCTGCGGCAGCAGCTGCTGCCTCTCGGTTATCTCTTGCAGCTTCTTGGTGTCAAGCCCAACGCTTCGAAGCAAATGTCTGGATATTTGTGATCAATAATCGACATAGTACATGTGGAACAGGCCGAAACTAGGCTGAAACGTGCGCCCGACAACAGCCGCTGTGACCCCCGCAGAAACACAGGAAGTTCGTAAAAAGGGAGAAAGTGCAAGAGGGAGGGAGGGAGGGAGAGAGAGAGAGAGAGAGAGCATCCCAACAGGCAGGCAGCAGGTACGACATGGCCGGGTGAGTGCTCACAACCTCACACCTCAACCCTCAGATCAACTCAAGCCGCTCCAGGACCTTGGCACCCCAAAATGTGTGCGCGTGTGTGTGTGTGTGTCTGTATGTATGCATGTATGTATGTATGTATGCATGTATGTATGTATGTATGTATGTATAACATGTATGTTTAGTTTACTTGTGGTCAGAAAGATAGTCGGATGGATACTCAGATAGATCGAGTAGGCTGGACCCGCCTTTCATTGGATCTATCTCGCAACAGATAACGAGATTCCAGGGGACAGACTAAGCTGGACTTGGGATCGAGCAGAGTTGAAGAGAGGGTGGTATAGCATGAAGTGACGGGATATGACACACAATGTATATAAAAGAGATGCAACTTAGAACAAACGAACACGAAACAGCGTACTGTCCACGCGGTCGAAAGCACGGAGTGGTTACACATTCACATCATTCGTCGCGATTCATTAAACCTAAATGATGCTATGGCTATGACTATCGACAGACAGGAACGAATACCGACCTGCTGACGTGCAATGCCAGCTCAACACTCAAATGCCGTCATGTAGGGGCCTTAGGGTTCTGGGGGGTTCCGCTTTATAATTATAGTAGAGTATACCCCCAAACCCTATTCTAATTATTAAGGTCCCTATATGAGTCGACAGCCAACCTCGATGTCCCCACCACTTTGCAGGACTGCCATGGCCGCGGACACAGAGTGAAAGGCGGTGTCCTGGCATGGTTCAGGCTCGATGATTAGGGACCTTCATAAGTAGAATGGGGTTTTGGATTAGAATGGGGTTTTGGGAGTTCCTATTTAATTACAGTTATAGTACAATATACACCCAAACCCTATTCTAATTATTAAGGCCCCTATGTTATGATTAGGGGGGCGAGAGGGTGGGGTGAAGTAAGGTTCCCCACGTTCGGGTTTGCACAAAGGTGTGAGAATCACATATGGGACTACACAGCAGCAGTGTTACTAGAAACTTGCGGGGCCACTTTGTAATGATAGTTCAAATAGCTGCGCAAGAACTACCCGTTGCTTATGGAACTCGGCCACATTCGACTGAAATCGGTGGCGTCCGAAACTCACACTGTCTCTGCTTGCAAGCTCGCAGACTCTATGAAACCTGCGAAGTTGGGTGTAAGGCCTCCACCCTGCACTTCCACGATTACACAGCATGGGACCGGCTTGGTGCTGAGCTGCTGAGCTGCCGACCCAGTCGAACGAAGCCTGAATCGGGAGCCGTTGAACGTGGAACTGAAGGAGAGCCAAAGTAGTGCTGGCCCGAAGGCTCTTGAAAGTTGGAAGCAAAAGATAAAAACAGCCGTGTGCCGCAAAACCAATGCCTGGCACAGCTGTGCAAGTCGGACCTTTCAGTCTCCGTCTATGTGGCCTGTACCTTTATGCACCTGGGTCACACTGTCCGGACTTGAGCTGACGAAGCCATCATGCCTGCAGCAGCCTCAGAATCTCCATGTGTTCGATGTCACCTTCGGGCCTTCGACAGTAGCGGGGTTTAGCTCGGGGCCATCCAGCACAGGAAAGCAAAGTTCATGTTGTGGGACAGGAGAACTGGGTCTTTAAAAACTAGATGCAAGAGATTTGTCTGCAATAACTGCACTGCTGTGGCAACATGCTGCAAGCCCTGCCATTCCTCTATGGTGTGCGCTCAAACAACAAACAGATGAGGCAGATATACTAACCAATACACACACACACACTAACAAAACGTAAACGGAACACCACATCTGCAACCAAGCCTATGCTGCCACATCCAGGGAAATTATACTTAACTGCAACAGTATCTTTCTTTCTTTCTTTCTTTCGCCAGGGCTGTGGTGTTTCTTTCTTTCTCTCGCTCTCTCTCTCTCTCTCTCTGTATCTTTCTCCTTGACTCCGATCTCGCCCTGTCTCTATCTTCCGTTCTCTGGGCTCCGTGCGGCTCTCTATCTTCCGTTCTCTGGGCTCCGTGCGGCTCGAAGTCAACATGTGCCTGAGAGCCTGGAGACCTTGGCGCATGCACATGGAGCTGTGCGGATCTCGCAGCGGCCCTTCTCAGCTGCAGGATGTTTTGACATACTACAAGGGCCTTCATAATTTCAACAGGGTCTTGCGAGCATACTGTACTGAAACATGGTATTAGACTTATAGCTATAGTTTTCAGGCCCCTGTGTCTAACACATGTCCATCTGGTGGAAGGCACCAGAAACATCCTCCACGAAACAAGGAGTCCTAAGGGCAAGTGATGTTGAGGTGACTTGTCGGCCAAGGCAGCCCCTGAGCCGCGAAGTCACTGCGGTCTCGAGGCCCTGGCAGGGGAGATCCCTGGGCTTCCTCTGAGCCACTGTACCTCCACTTTGGTGCCATTTCCTGAGCTTTCACTGCAGCCGCCACCACGACTATGCATGAGCAAGACACCTGTCCCTTGTGCCAGCCCGCCAAACTGTCGACTCTTGTCGTGGGTTTAGTAGCCCCCATCCCACATAAAGAGCTCAACAGCTTCGGCACGTGCTTGATCAGCCTAGTTAATGTCTCCTACTGCCTGAAGCCAAACTCGTTCTGGGTCACTGGCTCCATCGGCCGCGCCCTTCCGGCTGAGGAGATCCCAGATCTGCCGGAAGGGAGGGTTGAGATGGGTTTAGGGTTCATATAGAACTTAGGGACTTAGGCTTTAGGACTCGCCGCAGGTCCAGGGATGACGAGCTCAGGTAATTTCTGGGACACCGCGGAAGGCTTCGCCAAAACCATGCGATGACATGCATGGGGATCTATGTTGTTGGCGTGCCCGATAAACTAATGACCAAGGGAAATCGCGTTGAGGCTTCGAGCGGCAGTGCGGTCACCGCGCAGTACAAAGTTAACAGTCTCGCGGAGCGTCAATGCTGATCCCATTTCAGTGGCATGGTCCAAGAGTCCAGCCGCGATGTTGCGCTATCACAGCAGAGAAGTGGGCCACGCACTTCCGGATTTGCAAGTACATGTGGTGACGTAGTGCTTCTGAGTCTATGTCTATGTGGTTCTGCCGCCGAATGAGAAGTACCATCTTTCAAGGCGCGCTGCTGTCGGACATTCTGCAATGTGCAGGTGACACGTATAGAGAGGCGAGCTATCACAGGCGCCTCCCTCAAAGAAAACTTGCGCACACGGGTGATGCGATGGCATTGTTCAGGTATTTGACACCACCAGCACAGACGCCAGGTCCACGCAGGAGTGGTGAGAGCCCAGGTTCCACATAGAGTCGGGGCATCGGAAAACCTGGACAGGCAAGTGTCAACTTTTTTTTATTTGGGCACTTGTACTTTTTGACTGACAACAATATAGTGCTGCAGCAAGGGCCCAGCAACCATGCACAGCTTTGTGATGGCTAAGCCGATGCACAGGACAAACGCGAGGGCAGAATAACGGACGTAGCCCCGGTATCGAATGACCTGCATCTCGGCAGAGCGGTAGGCAAAGTAGTTCTTCAAGTCCTTCCAGGTCACAGGCATTGAAGACTCGTTGATGTGCGCCATGACGTCCTCAACCTTCCGAATGGCCGTGTGGCCATAGAAGAGCACCTTCTCCACGTTGATCAACAAGAAGAGGGCACCCCCCAAGCTGAGGCCGATGGAGACTAACCTCTGGAAGTCCACGGTCTTGTTCTGAGCGGTCGCCCGGAACATGGCGTAAACCGAGATCTGCACGTGGATCTGCAGAGCACTGTTGAAGAGGCCCAAGGTAATCACTTTCAGGAAGCAGCGGGTCAAGGCGTTCCGCGTGTAAATTTGGAGGGGCTGGCGCATGTCGTTCAAGGCCTCCTGCGATGAAGTCACTGCCTTGTCATCGTTGCCGTGGTCTTTCTTTAGGCAATGCAGAAGCTTGTCCAAGACACGATAGGTCTTGACCCGTGGGTAGGATGGGCTCTGCTCGTCTATGAGGTACATGCCCAGGCCACTCGACAACATCATAACGGAGTCCCCGAAGGTGAAGGTTCCTCCAAGGAAGTTTTGGTACTCACCGGAGTCGTCAGCTGCGCCAGCCGGCTGGCCGTTGGGTTTCTCCATGTCCAACGTAAAGTCCAGCTCCCAAATCCATTGATCGCTTGGCAGAGACTCCAAGATGGCATGGATCAAGGGTGCGAAGGATAAGAGCCAGAAAAACAGCACCTGAGCGGACAACGGGACGTCGCGCATAAAGAATACGAAGCTGGACTGCCGCAACGTAATTTGCCAAATCTCATCGAAACTCGTGTTCGTCGAGAAATCCCCCTCAGCAGTGTGCCCATGGTATGGTAGAGGACAGTGAGAGGTGGCAAACGTCCGGGCAGCAAAGACTGCGTTCGAAAAGACAGCCCCCTGAAATGCCAGAGACTTGGCAGCATTGATGAGGATCCTTCGTCGGAGATAGGGTTTAGGGTTTTGGGTTTTGGGGTTTAGGGTTTAGGGTGAGAGATTGATGTATAGAGCTTAAGAGTTTAAGATTCGTGGTTTCCAGAGACCTCGGACCTGAACTATGTCCTCCAAATTTCACCTTATACCGTATACCTAATCTCAAATCCATATACAAACTGCTAAACCCTGCTGTTACCCATGCCCGCAACTCCGCTTGGGCCTAATGCAGGAAATTCATGAAACAGAGTACTGGGGGTTCGGGGTGGCGATTTATGCGTACTATACCGGGCTACAGAAATCTAGTCGCGATCTTGAGGCTACCTTGCGACATCCCTATATCACTATATTCTTTAATTCTGCTCGACCCTGAGCACCGCCACGCCAGAGCGTGATGTGCGGCATGTCGCTTCTTCCCGGAAACTCTTCGACTTTTCGCCGGACAATCATTGCTCAGCCTATGGCGTCCTGCAAAAATCAACACTAAACTTACACTAAGTCCTGATGAAAACCCTACGGCCACGGTTCTAAACCGAGTCCCAAAGACGACCTGAATATAGCTGAGGATTGTTCCGAGATGGACTTCGTCTTGGGACCTAGTCGAATCGTGGATTGCTAACATGAGGATGCTTTCAAGGGACAAAGCAAAACAAACGGCGCTAAAACCCTGCCGCTGACCCTAAACGCTGTCCTAAAATCCCAAACTCTTAAGCCCTATAGCCACAAAGCCTCTAACCCTCAACCCTATACTCGTAAATCGTAAGCTAATCCTTAAACGCCCCAAACCTGCAAACCCTAAAGCCAACAAAGCGCTTTCAATGCTTCCTCCGAGTAACCAAAGCTCTGGCCCCATCTGAACTTTGAGCATCTGAAACCGGCCCACTACCTGGAAGTAGGGTACGACCTGGGAGGTTCAGGGCTTGGAGTGTCTTGGGTTTCCAGGGGCTTTCGGAGGTGTGTATGTTGGGACCAGGCTTTGGGGATTTTGGGGGTCTCCGCAGGGCTTTGCTGTTGCTCGGAACTCGATTGCTTTGGTGTTCAAGGAGGTATGAGGCTGGGTCGATGCGCACGTGCATCCGAAGTACAACAGCAAGCAGACCCTGCTTACGTTCTGGCTTCCACTCAGGGCCTTGGGTGCGGGTGTCGGTTTGGGGGTTTCTGCCCTGTTAATATTGGCAATGGATCTGGAATTGGGAGGTGAGAAGGATGTAGCCAAAAGTCTACTTGCTTGCAGGTGTAAGGTGAGCTTGAGCTGTATAGTTAATACTGTATGGTTCATCTTAACGGCTTGTTGGACTTCGTGAAGGTCCGATGTGGCTGGAGACAATGGAACATCGGAGGATGCACAACGTAGCACGGCTGTATCGGACCCCAGGGAAGCCATCCGACCCTGAAGCCCAAATCCGGACGGGGCGCTGTGTAGCGAAAGATGCGGACCTCTTGCACGAAATGCAGCACTGCAAAGGGCAAGGCGCAGAACCAGATCCAATAAGGGACAGGCTTGTCCATGCCATTCTCACAGGAGGAGCCCAGGTAGACCAAGATAAAAATCCTGATCTAACTTGCAGTCTCAAAGATCAGTCTATGCTGGTTTCGAAGCCTTGATAACGACGAAAATTACAACACACTTGCTCTAGCCTGTCCGAGTATCGCAGTGGGTCCCAGCACCGATGCGACAACGGTCTCGAATAGAAGCCTTGGCTGCTTCTATCCCGAGCACCTGTGTCACTTGCCTGGGACTCCTACACTTTGTGCTCTGGACTCTGCCACACAGAATATAAGCTGACCACGTAAAAGATACCCGAAACCCTGCACAATAGGTCCAAGCATCTTATATGCAGGTCCTGCAATTTCCCGATATCTTAGGGCGCGGTTCTTCTCGTTGGCCATATGCTCCACTTCTGCATTTACGAAGCATCGTGGTGGAGGCCGCCCGTCAATTTCAGCAAACTGCCTCATTTCGGCACTTGAGGTGCTGCTGATTGGGTACGGAGGTGGCTTCATGAGCTAACTTTGGTAACATGTGCGGAACGTTCACTGAAGGTTCTGAGGTCGATGTTGATGCTGCGGGGGAAAGGCTGATAAAAGCATGCGGAGGAGCATCACATGCTGCTTCATGCAGCCCTTTGAAAAGCTATGCTCGTGAGTTGACTGACTCGCGCACGCTCGCGGCCACGCAAGCAACGCTGAAATGACGCCGCCGTTCGATCACTGTTTGGACGTTTTAGGGCCAGAGCTATGGCTAGCCTGGGACGAGGGTGGGACGGACACAGCGAATAACAACTGCATGTCAGCTTGCATGTCAGACTGACCATTGGCGGCTTGCAGCATTCCGGCTTTCGGCCCTCCCGGCTGCTGAATCTGCAGATTAGGCCCCGCATTCGCATTCTGCTTCATGGGAAAGGCTCCAAACCATGCCCTTTCGATCACCTTTTGCTTTTCCACGCCCCTCGCCTACTAATGCTTATATAAGCGTAAGCAAGCTGCACCAGTAGGAAACATGAAAGCTCCGACAAGCTGCAGCCACGTGGAGTTCTCGGAGTCGCTGGAGGTGCTCGAGCAGTTGCTGCGCAACCGCGGCTCTGGATCATCATCCGCTGCGGAGTTGGGCTTGATGGCGCTCTCGATGTCGGATATGAGAGCCGCATAGGCCATACTTCACAGATGCTTCTGCCTACATGTGCGAACTACGAACTAAACATCGTGCTTGATGCTCCAATCTGCCTGCCAAAGTGTTGTCACAAGAGAAGTCGAGAAACTTCACATACTGAAACCTTGCATGACTTTCCGGTCGCATAGTGCATAGCATTGAAATTCCACTCTTACTCTGTTGTCTTGCCCTCTCTGCCATGCGAGCTGCGCCATGAGCGAAGGTTAAACGCTGTGGTAAAGACATGCAATAGTCTTGCATCGCCTTTCGATACGATGCTCTGAGCCCACAGAAGGTACCGTTGTGTTCTCACGTGGATCATGGTTCAAGTCCTGTTTGAGTTTGGGGCCTATAGGGAATGAACCCTCGGCTTTTGATAAGGTAGTTGTACGAGTGAAGACTCACGGGGAAGAAGACATCATACGGATCATGGGGGCAACTATGGAAAGTAGCAATCATGATACATTCTCTTTGAGGTGCAAGGCCGATTATGGTTTAGGGAGCGGGACTTGGAAAAATCTGCCCCAGCGCACCAGGTGCAGCTTCCGGTGCATCTCGTGCTCCTTCCAGGGATCTGTGCTGAGTAGTGAAGGGCTTGTTGGGTGACTTCGAACTGCGAGCTTTGGGCTTAGACCCAGGCTTAATTGCCTAGTCACTCTGGTCTCGGTCTTTTGGGAAATAGAATTTCCGAAAGCTTCCGCGAGAACCTGGCGGCACCATCCTTTTTAAAAGGCCAAACTTATGCAATAATAGGGATGGGATCGAACGTCAAGCATGTTCTTGCTTGTGACAGGAAGTTACCAATGCAAATATGGGTACTGCTGATTGCTTTCCCCAGCCAACACTGGCCACAGATGGAAACTGAACATCAATACCATAGGTCTGACTTTTCTTTTTCCTGGTATATGTGTGACAATTCTTAACAATCGTACTCGGGAGCAGAAGTCGGTGGGGGAAGCATAAGTCGGCGCGGTAGTAGTTGTAGTCGTGGTACCCGCAGCAGTAGCAGGAGCAGAAGCAGTAGCCGAAGCAGGTGTTGATGGTGTTGCTGTTTGCTAGTTCTTACCTGGTGACCTCCAGGGCTAAGCCTTCACGAGGCATGAATCTTGTTGCTTGTCGCCTCTGGCAACGACTTCAATTTTCAAGCAAGGAGGCCACGGTACATTACTAATCGAATACTCAACTGGTCAGGCATCTCTTTCGCACTACATAGCAACAGTGTTAATCGCAGTGGCCCCTTGCATGAAACTTCCGCCATTAAATACATCGGTCTGGGCATTCAAAGCACTCCTCCACGCGATTCAGCGGCAACTCATGTTTGGCCCGCCGCAAGCGGCTCTTGTCCGAAACCTAAGGAAATGCATGCTCCAAAGTCCTGGCTTCAGAATTCGGGACTTTTGGCAGTCATGATTCTCAGAGCGGGTTTGAGACAGTACGGGTAGCTGCTATTAAGGAGATCGGCAATCCAAGCTGCAGCCAAAAAGTGATATTTCCAGCGCTGAGTCTCTCGACTATACCATGGTTTAGGGATCACAGGGTTCAGCCAACAAGCTCTAAGAAGCCCTGCCTCCCACGTAAGCTCCTGACCCACTCCAGCTGCATGAAGACATTCTTCACACGTCTGAAGCCGCTCCATTGGGGATCGAACCTTGGTGCATCAAATGCAAGCTAACAGTTCCATGAATAGTAGACTTCTGATCATGGCTCACCACTGTCAGCAGCACTAGTTGTCTAAGTGCTCGTAGTGCTATTGCCATACTTGAACTTTTTCCTTGTGTTTTATTTCACATTTTGCTGCAAGAGTACTTCCGTTATCTTCGTCGTGAGTCTGATGGCAACGATGCTATCCGGGCGACCGGCACTTTAGGAGTTCGGTACACTTTCAACCCTAAACCCTAAACCGCTGCTTGCTCTCCCGTCACTTCGTTACGAATCAGAACCAGCTTCTCAAGCTCAAAACGTTTTCGCAAGCTGCGGCCCCAGAGCAGGAAGCACGCAATTTAATATAACATACTACAGGATGATAGATCATAATACATTATATTTATCTTACGTTCTGTTATACATATACAATAGCCCCGACCAACTACCTCCGGCCGCTCCGCACCTGCCCGACGGCATTCCAGGGCTTAGGCCGAGGGTGTAAGATGCGCTAGTAAAAACGTCTGCAATGGCATTATGGATATCTTACTTGTGTTGGAGTGGGATATCACCGGACTACTACCTTCCAGATTCTCAGATTCTTGATGCCCACTCCAGGGTCAAGGCCAATTCCGGGACAGCAGGCACTCCTGCCTCAGATCGCAGTGCAGCGGCTAGGAACACGGAGCCACGCCACAGGTGGAAGGGTGAACCCCTAAACGCTAAATGCTCTGAGAAGGCCTTCTGAACCCGCCGCAGGTGCGTTGAAACTCCTTTTTGAACCCATGGTTCTGAGATGACTGGAACTTGGCTCGAGTTCTATGTGTGCGCACACGCATACATACATACATACATACATACATACATACATACATACATACATACATACATACATATATATATATATATGTATACATGTGTATATACTGTATATATATATATATATATAGAGAGAGAGAGAGGGAGAGGGAGAGTATGTCTATGCACACATACAACGACACAAAGATGTATGGCCGTTCGGTGTAATTACATATAGACCGGAGAGAGGCATATAATATAGAATATAGAGAGAGAGGGACACACACACATGTAAACTTGATGGCGTCCTATACAACTTCGTAGGGAGAAGAACTACGGTGATTTATCCCGCAACGCACACGATGATCCTATGTACAAGGCGGAACTCCGCAGGGAGCCCGAATTAGGGCCTATCGCAAAGCAGACCTGTGAAGCCATGGCCAAAAATCGACCCCGACCTTTACTAGTCAGTAGTCGACGCCACTGGTCGAAAGAGAATGGAGCAAGGGGAGCTGGAACTCTCCTTTTGCAGAAGGAGACAACACCACAGCAGAGTCATCCTTCGCTGCCAAGCTCCAGGCGGCAGGGACTTCAGCGGCTGTCTCTTCCAGAGGCGGAAGTCGCGGGCCTGGAGTTTCGCTCAGGGCCCTCTTAAAAGGCAAGCAACTTCATGCGAAGCTCTCATGTCAGACCTCGTAGAACTGCTTCGGGATTGGTGTCTCGGCCGGCACTGCCAGTGTGTCCACCTGACAAGACAGAGCTCGCTGGCGCCGCCGTGAAGCACACCGCCCAGAGCGGGAAACGAGAATGACAACATAGATCTACAACGCTAGCAGGCACAGGAACGGAACGAAACGAGCAATGGAAGTAGCATCAACATTCTAAGATTAGTATCCTTGGCGCCCCCTGAATAATCGGACTCAGCTCGAAGCTAAGCAAGCTTTGGGCGGATCGAGACGCGGATCACGCACTCCATGGCGGCGTAGGGCTGACGGGTTCTGGGTTTTGCGGATCTGTAGGGGCAAATTTCGAGGGCGTGGTCTTCAAGTAGGTTCACGGAGCCTTGTGAGACTACGCTTGGCTGCGCCATGTCCGCAAAAGTTCATGACACCTGGACCTGAATCTCCTTACAATCAAGCCATCAACCCTGCACCCCTCACGTTGGCTTCAAATCCCGGAGCTAGCCAAGCCCGCCACGTCCCAGGGTACCGGCTCTTCATGATCACGACAGTGCCTGCTGGAGGTGACATGTCAGTCCACCCGGCCCTCCCTCCAGATCTTTCTCATGCGAGCATCTTTATGCCAGTCTTGCTTCACATGGTTGTCCTAGGACCCGTGGCTACTGAGCCATGCGCATAAGGTCCACGAACTTTTCGATCTGAATCTCCTGCTCTCGTTGGCCCTCCTCTTCGACCTGAGAGTTCAGGAGTTCGACCGAGGGCATGGGGCTTACGACTGAGATGTTCGAGGCTGAGGAACTCAGGACGAACAAAAGTGGGGGTCTGACAAGGCCACGATCCAGCGATATATTGATTGAGCCCACAGCTCTACTGACAGCCTCAAAAACTAAAGCCCCGCCTCCTGCTGGCGTTCCTGCTCCTGCTCTCGCTGCTGCTCAGTCTCCAGTCCACGCCTGAGCGTACTATTGCTGGTTTGCTTCGGGGCATGTGGTTTTATCTGGCCCCGTTCAACCCTAGATCAAATCTTAGCACAAATCCTTGTCGCGACGCCCAACCTCTGCGTCATGGCCTTAAACCATTCTGGCGCAGGCTTCTGGAATATGACAATAAGCATGGCCAACAAGCACAGTATTGTAGCCTTTCGAAACAAATATTATGACTTCGGGTGTGACTGCATGGATAACACTTTCTCATGCCTCAAGTTCTTGGGCGGTTGACATCTTCTGTTGGACTCCTGAGGTGATGCTGACATAGATCATGAGCTGCTGCGGGCTCCGCGAAAGCCTGCGGCCTGACTGTCATGAGCCACTGCTGGCAACAGAGATCCTGCGTTGCCTGACTCGCAGGTCGGCAATTTTGTAAACCGAAGCTCTAGGCGCACCGGATCTGTGAGCATACGGCCTAAAGCCAACAACCAAAGTTGCAACGTACCAGGCCCTATAGAGAGAACACTTTCCCCGAAGGGAGAGAGGCCCCAGCTCTCCTTGCGTCTCCTCGGTCTCACCGCCAGCCTTTAAGGTAGCTGGAGATGCCGCATAGGGTTTAGGCTTTAGGGGTTTCGGGGTTTAGGGTTTAGGGGTCTCGGGGTTCAGGGATTTAGGGTTTAGGGGTTGAGGCTTCAGGGTTTGTTGGCACTTGTTCGTACACAGAAATCGCTGGATACTAGTCATCGTCCTCCTCCTCCTTCCCCTCCCGTCTTCGTCTTCTCGAGTTTGAGATTTTGGGATTCTAGGCTTGAGTTCAGGGTTTAGGGCATTTAATGTTTACGATGGTAGCAGGAGCAGCTGCTGTAGCAGCACTAACAAGACGAGTAGTGAGTGAGTGAGTGAGTGAGTGAGTGAGTGAGTGAGTGGGTGGGTGGGTGGGTGGGTGGGTGGGTGGGTGGGTGGGTGGGTGGGTGGGTGGGTGGGTGACTGACTGACTGACTGACTGACTGAGCGAGTGAGTTTGTGCTTGAATCAGTGAGTGAGCAGGTCTGTAAGTAGCAGTGGCAGTAGTGGTCACGGTCGCTGTGGTCGCAGTGGTAGTGATGGTGGCAGCCGCCCCATCCCAGACGATCCGAAGCTCTGTTCCTGCTCGTAAGAATACTACGACTGAAGCACTAACAGAAACGCACTTTTCAATCCTGAGCCCTAAAGCCCAAAAACATCCTAGAACCTCCAAAGCCTTGAAACCTCCACGACACCTGTCTCCTGACATGCCACCTCTGCGAGACGTCGCATGTTGCCCCGGATCTCCTCGAGCTCCGGCCTGGTTCCAGTGGGTTTCAGGGGTGGGATTCGAGCTGCATCAGGCGTTGAATGGTAGAAAAGGAGCAGCTCCGAGCACATTTGCAATGAAGTTGGAAGAGCACTCTTTTACGTCTAGATATGTGTCAGAGTGTGTGTGATCCAGGGTAGCGCGAGTTCCCAATAAAGATTCAACTGTGGCATGCCGCTTGCTGTCATGCTCTTGCTGAAGTTTTCGCTTGAGGAAGCCGATAGCTTAATCACTTGCTCGCCTGTCTGCATCTTGGACGAAGCGCTGTGCATCTGCTATCCTGCGCCAGCAGTGCCAACACGCAAGTTCATTGACTCCCAGAAGGCACCCCACACACTACACACACACAGGGGCCTTGGTCTAAAGCACTAAACCCCTGAACGGCATGTTTCCCTGGACTCCTCCCAAAAAGCCTTAAACACCTACATAGGGGTTCCTCCACGCGGCTTACTATAAAGGCTTCCTTGATGTTTGTATCCGTTCCCACTCCTCCTCTCGGCCGCCGCTCCGATAGTGTCCAATTGCCTCGATCGTCTCAAGCCGCCATTGCTTTTAATGAGGACTATATGGGTAGTTCTCTAAAATAGGGTCCCTTTTTAGGTCCCCAATATAGTACGGCACCCTTATAAAAAGGAGCCTAAAAGGGATCCTAATTTAGAGAACTACCCATATGGTAAAGCGGACTGTAAGGGTACCGTAGCAAGGGGTACTAGAAGGGTATCCTAAGGGGTACCGTAAGGGGCCTACGGCATTCTACAGGTACTGGGGTCTACCAGGGGTCGAGAAGGGTACAACAAGCCCTCTCACAATTTTTAACCACTACTGTATAAGGGTACAATGGGACCACGACCACATGCAAACCGTCATAAGGACTTAAGTTACGCATGCGTGCATGCACGCATCCTTATGGCATAACAGTAAAATGTGGACACTACACTCTATGCTGCGAAGAAGTCTTTCACACCATGTCTACACATTCGGACATACTGACATACATGCAAGCATCTCATGGCACATGCACACAAAAGTGATGCTGACCGCTCAGTTCCACACGGTACTTTTGACGGAACCTGTTCCATGAAGAAAAATCATGCTGCATGCTGCATGAGCTGGAAACTCCACGGACAAGGCATGCGACGGCACCTTGAAATCGATGGGCTCCTTGTAGACTTGGACCCTTGCCAGGGTTTCTGGTTTCATGCCAGCCATTGCCTGGCAACGAATTGTGAGGTGTGCAAATGACTTGCCGTGCGAGTGTGTGTGTGTGTGTTATCTTGGTTAGGGTGGATGCGGAATTGAATGGTTGCACCCGGCTCACTGTGGGTTTGAGCTTGCATGGGTGGGCTCCGACAAGCACCACGACAACACCAAGAGTATGTTCTATGTACGTTCGCGGCACCAAAATCTGCCGCTCGTGTAAATCCGGCAACTTCCAAGTTTGAAAACTGAAAAAACTTAGAGTCCAAACCTCGGCTGCAATCACGGACCTCTGTGCATCCCTGGGCAATTTCTGTGGGAGACTCTCTCATCTCTGAACTAATGCAGCTGGGGATGTGAGACTTGGGAGACTTAGCAGATAGAGCCTGAGTAGATTAGACCATATTGGAGCGATGCTGGAAAGACGAGGATAGATTGAGATTCTGTACTGCTATACTATGCCATACCACTACTGCGTCCATTGTCACGGGATGCGAGGTCATGGACCCCTGGTCTGGCAGAACCCCACGGAACAGACCCACGATTCCACGATTCCGCCGCCTCGTAATCTTCCATGACCGCAGTGAGCGAACTCCTAGCAGCAACTGACTGGCTGAAGATAAGACCGCATGGGCGATGCCTGCAACACAGGGATCCTGCAACTTGTCGCTTCCCGCAAGTATGTTGCAGAGATCTCGTGAACATCACGCATGTCTCGGGTTATGCGCCCCTCTCGGCTCGCGGGACTCTATCTGGGAATCTAGGAGAGTAATCCGAAGGTAACCATCAAAACAAAGGTATGGGCTGCAGGCGGTGGAACATAATAACCGAATACATGAAGGGAGCAGCTTTCCATAAAAAGCTGCTGTTGGTAGTTGATAAATCTCTGTCGCTCCGGAAGACTATGCACTGACATGAGTTTTCGGAGTCCAAGTTTCAATGGAATGCAAACAGCCGTCCTTCGCCAAATGTTGGCCAAGTTCTGCAGCTGCAACATGGCATATTGCACCTTCTCCGTCCGCATGGACCTTATTATTGTGCTGACAATGCATCATCGCGCGCAAACTTCCCTACCAACGCTCCACTGTATCACATGAGTCTCGATGAGCTGGTCCTCGCCGCCTGGCCCTCGTCGCCTCGTGAAGGGGCCTTGGGGCCGCGGCTGGCACAGCAGCCAGCAGGCCACCGCATCCAGAACACCCTGCGATGGAAGGATCGAAGGATCAAATGTGTCAACGCCGATACACGCAAAAGCGCCTACAGCAGAGCCTGCAAAGTATAAATCCAAGTCACTGCCGAGCTTGCGAAAGCTTGCATTCACAAGGCTCCGCATCCCTCAACTCCGCAGACGCTTGGAAGAAACGGTCGTGTGCCTTGTGCCGGTTGCCCAGGGAGGCAAACCCAGGCCTGCCACCAGTCCATCGCAACCAGTCGCTTCTAATCCTACTATCGCTGACGGTTGACGGTCACTTCGACGAGTGTTCGAGCTGGTGCAACTTAAGCATTATACTACGACGATTACAACGGTCGTCACCAGGATTTTTGTTAGTTGCGCTGTACTCTTACCAATACGTCGCCATTGAAACCTTCGCGATCGCTTGTAGAATATCACCACCATTGTGCCTGCTGCTACAAGACTAGACTTGCTGAGAAGGCGATGCCGACTCTACTATAATGCATATTGCTTCCACTAATACTACATTGGCATTCACATCGACTTCAATGATACTACGTATACAGTTTATAAAGGCTGCGATTGAGATGGAACAAAACTTGGAACTCGTACCTCGTGTATTATTGCCATATACAGAGCGAGATAGCAGCCATCTGCGACCGAGGTGCAACTGAGGCAGATGTGCCAGACCAATGTCCCGCGAAATTAGCTGCTCAATCCTCGGAGAGGCCATCAGAAAAACACTCCCTAAACCCTATTATAAACCCTAAACCCTAAACCCTTGTGATGTGCGGAGAGCAGCTCAAAGATGCTGAGGAGCCGACTCTGGGATGATGTAGAGACAGATGCTCTGCCCTCGACCGATGCCACGCATCCTGGCATTGCTAAACAGCAGTGTAAGGTATGAAGCCCTACCTGCTGCCGTGCTACTGGAAGAACTGCGTAAACGCAATGGCAATCCTTGCACAACAGCACTTGCTCAGGCCCTGCGCTGACAGCAGTCCCACTGCCACCGAATCACATCCGCTCGGAAGGTGGATTGAGCCCCTTGGTGCGCCAGGCCTGTATGCACCCTGCGCAAAGTCACCTGCAAAGGGATTTGAGTTGGCAAGCGGACGGTCAGATGCGAGATTGCCACATGAGCTTGTAAAGCTTGTGACTGAGAGCATCCAGCCAACACCGGGACAGTAAATGTCTCAAGAATGCCTGCAGTCCTAACCGGCGGGGCATCCCCACTTGCAGACAGGCTACGCCAAACCATGTCTTTGCCTCAGTCTCAGAATCGTTAGAAGTCCCTCAGCTGCTGCTTCCAGTCTCTAGGCCGGTAGGCCGGTGAGGGTTAGACGGTTAGAAGCAGGCTCCTGCAAGCATTATCACTGTTACGGGTGTCACTTTTGCGGTTCTTGCTCATGCACCTACTCCTGTGTGTAGTAGCCACAGAGTGTATGTCGTTGCACTGCACTGAAGGACGCAACGCGAAATGACGATGCTGCAATTCTGGCCTTGGGTTTCGGGACTCTTTCTTTACAGTATCAGATACGGGGAGGCAGAATGACAGGCCTGACGCTGCTGCGCAACGAATTGCCAGCTGGGAAAAGCTCTTATTAGCTATGCAACTCTTCTCCCAAGTCACCCGCTGAGCCATTACATCGTGTGGCTCTCAGGAGTAAGTCCCAGGCCCAAGGTAAGAGCCGCCACAGCGTCTAAGCGATGTTGGATATCCATGCCTGAGGAGGTGTAGGCTTTAGCTTTGTCGGGCATGGAAGGGCTTGAAGCAGAACAGCCGAACAATACCCGGTGAGAAAGGTATGGTGTCCATCCGATCCTTTTGGCGATATGGTTTGTTTGGTTTTGTTTGGCAGTACAGGCGAGTGCCCTTACCGAGCCTCCCGTCATCTTAGGCCTGGGATCCAAGAGGAGGGCGTTAACTAAGTTTGATTTTGACACGCCAAAGTTTAGGAAGTCATGCCAAAATCGCTCCTGTGGTGTGGATCTGGTCGTAGAAGCAGAATCTTGCCGAGATGGGAACTCCGCTGTCCTTGGCATTCGGCAGCTCAGGCATTGATGTCGGAATTTCGGGATGGTCGTTCACATCTAGAAGGTTTGAGAAATGATGCTTACAACAGCCCGGTCCGCTGCAGAGTGGCGGCTTATAAAAGTGCTTATAAATAGGTTCGCTTAGATTCAACGAGTCCCTAAAGCGGATGATCCATTGCGAAGCTGGCCCTGTCGAGGGCCCGACGGCCAGCTTGCCGACCTCGCGAGACTGCCGGTTCCTGGACACGCACGGCTCTTTCGCGACTACACCTGGCCCTCTCTGCTGCGTCCGCGACGATGACGACAAGAACAATGACGACGACTGCTACGACCGGATACTATCAACCTCCGGATATCTCGTTTTGAACCGGGGGCAGCCAGACTCGGCTTGACACAGACTTCCCGGCACAGGATCTTATGAACTAAAACCATAGCCGAATCCCCAAGGATAAAAACAAGGAATCCAGACTTTCTGCACCTCAAGTCCTGGTCTGAAAGCACAGCATGCCAGCCCCCATTTGCTATGAAGGCCCAACAGCTGAAACCTGAAGCAGGATGCTAAGATTCCGAGATTGTGTAGGGAAGCTTCAAACGCCCAGGGCTCGGACAGGATTCGCTTTGCGCCATCCTCCTCGATGAAGACGACACCCTCAGGCACATGCAGAGTCCAATATATTGTCACACGACAAAGTAACCAGTGAAACCAGACTTCCACATGTGATTTCTCAAGGAAGATGATTGTCAAATGAGGCTCCGATGCTGCGGCCTTCGTCACGGTTGCCGTTCATAAACATTAGCCTTGATAAACAGATCCCATAGCCCTGAATCCTGAGCATGCTGTTGTTATAGCATCGAAGTTGGGCTTATGGCCTCAATCCAATCCGGCAGAGTGATGGGCATGGAGCCGTCCGTGCCTGGGATCGACTCTCAATGGCCTTTAAACTTGTTGCGGTTTAGGGTGCACTGTGCAAAGGTCTGGGGCGTCAAGCGATTGGCTTCCGTGTCAAAACCCTACGTTCCCGACGCAAGTGTCAGCTCCGTGCTCGATCTAGTGTGGCGTGGCACGAAACGGCCACGCCGCAATTCGCAATTCTGAAAGCCGTCTTCCAAGTCACAAGTGCCTTTACTGTGTAAAGTTGTAGCTTACTTTCGTAAGCTACCCGTACATCATTACCGCTGCAGCTCTCCCTGCCACCTTAGAGCACAGCACACACTAATCTGCAGCCGTAGCCAGCGCTTAAAGCGTAAAGCCCAAAACACAGCTTGAAGCTGAACCTCACGTAGCCGGCTGTGCAGCTTTCCGTCGTCAACGGCCCTTTAGCCAGAAAGATATCCGGGAGATTGAAACGAACGGCTACTGTGGCTGCTACTGGCTCTGGCTCCGAGCGCCCGTCGCTTTTTGAGTCCCAGAAGATGCTCTGCAACCTCCTTGTTGGTCAAACCTGTGACGAGTGCCTTGGCCCACAGATGCTCAGTCAGGCGACTCCAGCTACGGCTTACACTACGCGGACGCACAAAAAAACACTTCGGCTCTTGCACTCCAGCCTCAACTGCCGATTCATCAGAATAGGAGTCCAACGTCTCCAAGCTGCAAAGGAGAAGTGTGTAGAACAGACGGCAATGACAGGGGCCTCGCTGACCCTGGAGCTCTAAGCCCTAGAACTCACACCAAGAACCGTGCGGAGACCCAAAAAACCGAGCAAAGAGGCCCCAAATCCGAGGCTTAGGCTCCAGTGTCGATGAGCGCTTGGCATTCACCGCGGCAAGCCGCTTCGGCCACAGCGTCCAACAGCGCCTGCGAGAGATCTGCAAAGGCACTGAAGCCCGGCCTAAACACAAAACCCTGGCGTTCTATTTCTGCTAGAGTCTAGAGCTGTGCACTGTGCACCATCTAGAAGATAAGGATGCACTGATGCAGCAAACTGACGACACCGGCCAGGATTGGGTTCAAATTTGCGTTCCAGGCATGAGTCGGGCCGAAGAAAGTTACTAACAGTCTAAGCAAAAAGCCACTTGATCATGCACGCCTCCACGGTCCAGTCCGCACCCAGCGTCTTGAATGACACGATCGCGGGCGAGGTCAGGGTACTCACGACCTCCGACGGACTGCAATCATGGCACAGCCTGCAAAGCTCCTGTGGAGTCGAGAGCTCATCAACGTTCAATCCGATACCATTTCCACAGAGGTCAGTGTTCCACAGAGGTCAGTGTTTCGGTGACTCGGAGACATTGTGACTAGGCGCCTGTCTTCTGCGGAGCTCTTGTAGCACGGAAGGGACGTGCATGCTTCACTGAACCGATAAACGTGTAAAAGCCAGCCCATCCCAAAATCCTCAACGGCAAAGCACGACTCTGCATGTTCCAAGAGATGCGAGCTCCCAGCCCTCTGAACTGCGAATTACATTCGAAACGTTTTTCCTTTTCTGCAACTGTCAGCCCGAGACTCCAAATTCTGGTGAGCCCTGCTAGCAGTCGCCTCTCCCTCGCTTCCAGGCTCGTACTCGCACCTCGGCCCACGAGCATTTCCGTCTCAGCTTGGGCTTTGCTCAGAGGCTTAGAGCTCTGCTTTCGTTTTGTAGCCTTTGAAGGGAGATCCTCCCCGAGTCCATACCCAGCTACGAGACTGCGTCCGCAGCCTTAGGCTTGGGGCGTTTCAAGCCAACGCTGCCATGGTCACCCTGTACGCACACGCACAAGAGAGAGAGAGAGAGAGAGAGAGAGAGAGAAAGAGAGAGAGAGAGAGAGAAAAGCTAGCGAGAGAGAGAGAGAGAGGCAACACAGAGGGAGGGAGAGAGAGAGAGAGAGCTAGGAGGAGACGAACTCGGACCCGTCCAATGCCCTTCCTGCACTGCGGCGAAGGCTCTGTCCAAGTTCGCGGGGCATCAGCTCGCTGGGAGTGCCCGAGAAACCAAGCCTGCCGAACAGCAGAAGTCCGGCATAATCCCTGCACTGAAGACAGCAAAACCGACAGACACCTCGAGGCAAGCCCGCAATGACTTTGCACTCCTACAATGGCTAGTGGGCTCCAGCCGAGTTTCAAGTCATAGGTGCTGGCGCATGCTCGCACATCCCGGCTTCGGCTGAAGAAGTGACAAGACCGGGGGGAGGGGAGAGTTGCTCCTGATCACCTTAAGTTTGGCATTCCGAAGGGTCCGAAGCATCTCAAGTCCCCAAGACAGTGCCTCTGCTTGAAGAGGATGGAGCCACCCATCTCTTGTCCGGAGGCAGAAAACCTGAGCAAGTTGTCGTGGATTACTGTCTCACCTGTGGATTCTCCGACCATCGATCTTAGCCATAAATGCTTTTCTGTCATCTACCTAATCCCAGCTGTACGTTTTTGTTACGAAATGACCCATTGTCGGCAGAATTCCTAAGACTGTCACGACGACAAGCATTACGTTTGTTGGCATGTTTTTGGTGGCTTTGACATCGCTGTGGTCACTATGCATGTTCGGGCTATGCCTATCTTGGACAGCGATTCTTGCTGCTTGCCGTTGCCGTCATGATGCGCACCCGACTGGGGACTGCACTTCTGCTCCTGGAACCGCATGAAATTTGGGAAGATGTTTGCCTCGAGGTAGAAGTGGATGGCCGAGGGCAGCCTGCGATAAGGAATAAGCCAGGGGCCTCCATGATGATACTGGTTGGATGTAAATCATAGCAGGACCGTACGAGTAAGTCGAGTTGGAATCATCAATACCTACGGAGTATAGCAAGTGCAACGGGAAGCTCCGCTCTGTGAGCAGGTTCAGGGTTTCGGGCTGGCTTGAAAAAGGATCATGAACACGGGCTCCACTTCCTACGAGTCGCGGCACTGTGAACTGCTGAAACGCTTCCGTCCTACAGCACGAATATCTAAAGCTGCAGCCCTAAACCCTGAAGCCCCAGAACCAAACCCTGAACCCTGAACCAAAGCCCCCGCCAAATCCAAAGCCGCCACACACACCGAAGGGTCCCGGAGGCTCAAAGCCCTCGGTCGGTACCTCCGGAACAGCTCGAAGAGCCTCTGCATCCTGGGGGCTGAGGGTTTCTGGCTGGGCGCATAGGCGCTAGAGTGGGTTGTATAGGGTGGCATAGGGTACTAGAGTTTCATAACAGTCTAAGACGAAGAACAGCAGTGACGATCTCATGTATGGCAATACTTGTGATTAATAAGAAATGTGGTCACCAAGATGCTGATAATGTTTGCTATGACTAGTAGCTAGTGAATAGCACCTCTAATTGTTGCAATGGCACTACCAGCAACAGCAACAAAAGGATCCTCATATACTTCTGACCATGCTTCAACGGAGAGCAAGCAGAGGAACAATCCTACCAGGTTTCCGGAGTTGAAAGGCTCGGCAGGCGGCTGTGGCGCATTCGTCTTCTCCAGAAGGTGCAAGGGAAGGACCTTAGTTCACGACAACGCGCGTTCGATTCAGTTTAGGGTTTAGGGTTCAGGTTTCAGGGTTTAGGGTTTTGGATTGTTGAGAACACAGAGGACATCACAGGTGACGACATCAATGGCACAGTCCCCTCAAAATATACAATACCTCCACACAGTTACAACGTACAACAAAGCTTTCTGTCTTTTTCCTCAACCGTCGCACATTTTTCCTCCTGGCGCCAAAGCGCCAGCACCCGGCGTCAAGCACTGTTGGTCGGTGTAAACAGGCTATGGTAGGTGAAGGAGGATGCTCATTCACAGCAAAGAGCTAGATGCCCGGTCTTCAGAAAGCTGTGCCCAACTGCCCTTTTCCCGGAATCGTAAACGCAACTATGCAACACTGAACACATCCCGAAACCCTGGCAATACCCAAACTGTAGATCCTAAGTCCTGAACCCGAGCCCCTCCCACCGAAAGCCACCGTAGCTCCGGGCCCGGGGTCGCTTGTCGGCCCGAGGATCTTCGCCAGACTCCTCAGGAGAAAGCCCAGAAAACTCCGGGCGGAGGGGGGGGGGGCGGGGGTTTCGGGTTTAGGGTTTANNGGGGGGGGGCTTTAAGAACTGAGGACTTCACAAGTGTGTTGTAAGCAGGTTGCAGCGCTTTACAGGGTTTTCGTATAGCGGCCGTAAACACTCGAATAGGGCTCGCTGTTCAATGACAGCCTGGAGGAAAACAAGAAAAATACAGAATGGCTCACTGCGGTTCTTATTGACATTGTTGTTGTTGTCGCTATTGTGAGCATACGCTCTGTGCTTTGCTCCAAAGTGACCCACGGTTACGACATTGTGACATGTACTCCAGGATCTGTACGGTTCAGTCTTGGTCTGGCTCTTGCAGGACCGCACGTCCTTTGCGATTCGCGTTTGACTGCACACTTGCTGAACATAACACTCGGTCTCATGTTGCCTCCTCCTGAGAAGCATGTGCACTTAACCCTTTAGTTCTCGACATCAAGCAAAAAAATTAACGGCAGAGGTCAGTGGTGTCTACGTCTTCTGGTTGCAGCTGGCAGGATGCACCCAATTCTCGGCTCCCGCTTTCTCCATGCTTGCTGCGAAAACTGTTCTCGTTTCTCTGCAACCTAGGTCGGCTTCGCCGAGCCATCGGGAACGGAGCATCAAGGGGCAGCAACTCAGGCCTAAATGACCATGCGAATGCTTCATGGCTGCATGCATGCAGCTCGCTCAGAGCCGCGACTTCGCAGCTGAGCCTGCCTTGCTGTCGAAGCTGACACAGAACTCGCCTTGCTGCTCACCGTGCTCCTGCGATGCCTGATTGCATCGCTCAATGTTTGCCAGGTGCACAGCAGAGGGTTGCATGACACATCCTTTGCGGAAGTTCTCCCAGCTGTCGGCACCCTTGGGCTGACTGCCTGCCTGAGCTACCTTGCTACGAATGAGCGGCTTCACGTCATGGCCTGCGAGTGACAGTGGGGTCTTCCCATACCAGTCAAGGACTCCCGGGTCCGCCTTGGCCTCCAGGAGCAGGGCGGCACAAGGTCGGGAGTCGCGCCAGGCGGCCAGGTGCAAAGGCGTCCATCCGTCCAAGCCGGGATGTGACACGTTGGGGTCCGCCTGAGCTCCAAGAAGCAGCTCCACACAAGCTGCATCCTTCCGGTCGCAGGCTCGGTGCAATGGTGTGTAGAGGTCAACATCGGCCTTGTCCACATCTGTGTCCGACGCCACCAAACGCTTCAGAGCCTCGACGTCACCTTGCCGTGCAGCGACGTGAAGCTCCGTCTCTAGCTTGAAGCCTTCGCCCTCACGAGCCATGGCGGGGACCGAAGACAGCTCAGTCTGTTGCAAACGTTCTATTCATAATGCCAGCATTCGACCATTATAGTTACATGCAACTCCACAAGAACCCTGCAAGGAATCGACTGTGCTCTGGGCACGTGTACCAGTTGCATTGCATGATCTGCGCTTTGTTCAATGAGGAGCTCACTCTTCCTGACACTTGCTGATTCAAGCAGCGCAAATAGCATTTTCTGTACTCATAACTACTACCGACGCATCGGCGGAGTAAAGCCAACTCTGCAGACAAACGTACCAAGGGAGGCTTTCCATGAAAAGAGGACGGGCACGCATGCACCACTGTTTTGGTTCATGTGAAAGAAAGCCAAGGAACATAAGTCAAACAGGGCTCTAGTATGCCAGTATGCTTGAACTATCCGGGCAATTGAAGTGGCTCTTCGTCATGCAAATTGCGACCGAAAAATGCCTGCGGCACCGTCAAGACTAGAATGGACTCCGGCAAATGCAGGGTGTTTGAGTCAGCTGGGATACAAGTCATTAGGATGAAAAGCACTCGTAAGCGACAACGACTACAACTGGAAAGAATGCGACCGTCGTGGGTGCCAGGACAATGCAGGGACGAAGCAAGGACCTGCCCAGCTGCCCCCACCGCAAAAGTAGCCACTGCTGAGAGCCGTCTTGCTGCTCGATCAACTCTATTAACGTTTCGACCGACACCGGAATTTGCACGAAATCCTCGTCGCAGCTCCTGTTGCTGCTGCTGGCTGCGACGGGCTGGCTGTTCGCTGATGCACCACTTCTCACGATCAGATGGTTCACTAGAATAAAATATTCGCACAAAACATGCTAGTCAAGGTACAATACGTGGTGAAGGTGATACAGTTACTGCATTAGGAGTCCTCGGTGGCCGCACGCTCGTCCATCTCTCGCTGCTTCACGCAGAAGACGGCCCCTGCTTCCTCCACCCAGGACTTCCAACCTCTGAGGATGATGGCTGTTCGCGTCCAACAAGGGAAAGGGACTTCGAAGAGGTCTCGACTTCGAGGAGCTTTTTATGCAGCTGGCGTCTGTGGGATGACAGCCTCGGACTTCGCCGTGCATTGGAGTTGGGCATCTTGAGCTACACCCTTTCCCTGAAACAGTCTCCATCGAGTCCGTATTCACCACCAACCCGAAATTCCGAAAGGGAACTTTTTCCAGGCTGATCGAATCGATCGTGCCGGGCCTGGCCTCATGGGCAGGTCCACAGAAACACAGAACATGTTAAGTAGAACTCTTGGCCAAGGAGGTGCTGCAGGGTGGAACGACAGCGTAGCTACCACGATTGAAGTGACCTAGGCCCCTAGTCGGAAGTGCAAGCCCACCTCGTAGCATATGCATACAATACCGATCGTGGTGCTTCTAAAATTTGCGGCACTCTTGCTCTTACACCGTGTCCGGCCATTCCCACCATATCGGCCCTGACGGCGGTTACCCATGCTGAGTGACTGATACCCCACCTTTGACAAGAGCATGCGAACCCCTCACAAACCCCCCAACCCCCAATTTCCAAGCTTGGTCGCCCCGCGGAGAGCTGTTGGCCTCTCCAGCTGGGATCCACCACCCTCGTTCTCTAAGCGGTCCGCCAGAGCCGACATGACCTACAAGGTTATAAGGGCGTGGACCAAGTTACAAGCAACATGCATGTGTACGTATGTACGTATGTAATCGTAAGTCGAATGTGCGTAGGTACACATTTATGGATGTATCTATGATGAATGTGCGCATGTATGTATGTACATACGTATGAATGTGTATGTATATGTATATGTATATGTATGTGTATGTGTATGTGCATGTGGACGCGTACGTGCACGAGTACGTGTTATGTATATGTGTATGTGTATGTGTACGTGTAAGTGTA